GCTGCCGGCTTGGGGGTGTCTCTGCCAGCGGATTTGGGGCGTGCAGTTCCCCCAGTTCAGCACTGGGCAGCCAGCACTGGGGGGAGCCCCTCGCCCTCTCCCACAGCCCCCCTGGCAGGGATGTGCCGTGGCCCCCCGGGCCAAGTGCCACCGCGGGGTTTAAGCACCTGGGACCAAGGAAATGGCACAAAACTGGGGCTGAACCCCGAGCGGAGCCACCCCCCAGCGCAAGGGGCTGCAGCAATCCCCAAACCATCACCTGGCACCGAACCCCTGCCCCACGGCTCTGGAGTCACCCCGGGGTGTCCCCACACCGGGGACCCATCCGTGCCCCTTCCCCGGCACAGGCAGAGTTCAGCGGTGACAAATCCCGGCCCCAAGCTGCCCGTCAAGGACAGCGGTGGCACGAGCTGTGTGCCAGTGCCAGAGCACAGCAGGTGCCAATCTCCCGCTCCAGGGACCCCCCAGCAGCCTTTCAGAACACCCCAGTACCCAGCAGGGTGAACCCCAGGGTCACTGTGCCGGAGCAGCTCTGGGTGTACCCCAGTTACCCCAAAACCCAGCTGCATTTCAGGCGTGTGCAGCCCCTGTGTGAAGCCACCACTTCCTGGGCCTGGGAGGAGGAAGAGGAGGAAGAGGAGGGAGGCAGAGCCATCACTGTTGATGCCAAGGGTCTGGGCTGGAGCTGAGTGGGGAGAGCTGGGCTGGGCTGGGGGGCACAGCCCCATTCCAGGCACGAAGCCACCCCATCCCTCCCCCTGCTGCTCCAGCTCTCCCCTTCCCCAGCCTCATTAATTAAACCCGAGCGCTTAATTACAACCTGCTGAGTCCCGTGGCTGCTTCCCGGAGCCTGCTGACACCGGGGGGCCAATCCCGACCCCCCCAGATCCCTGTAGGAAAGGTGGGATGCAGGGAACAGGGGGAGCATCCCGCAGCCTGCAGGATTTGGGTTGTGGCTCGTCGGCGGCATGAAGGGATCTTCACACAGCGCTCAGGAAAGAGCAAACCCAAGCACGGGAGCTGGGAAAGTCATCCCTGGGGATCCTGGCCTCCCCAAGGAGAGATGGGGACAGATGGCTCCGCTCTGGGGTTATCCCTGAGCTGCTGGCAGGTCCCTCAAGGGCTGAAGAGGGACGGGGATGCTCAGCCTGATGCCTGGTGAGCTCCCGGTGGCAATAAAAAATAATCGAGGTAAATGAGGTGAAGGCTGGTGGCAGCATGAGATGGAGGGGAGATCCAGTGTCCCACCGTGCTTCCCCACCTGCTCACCCACCCGGGGGTCCCCAGGGCAGGGAGGTGCCCACCGGGGTGCCCTGACCCTCCTGGCCTCCTGCCCACAGGTCCCCGCCGGCCCATGAAGTGACCCAGGCGGGTGGCACAGCCCCTGCTCCTGCCGTAGCCACCACTGCCACACCTGGCACTGAGGTAAGGACCCGAGGGCACGGCCGTGGGGTGGGTGGGATGCTCTGGCACGGGCATCAGACCCCCAAACTGGGTCTGTGGGGCACAATTCCCACTTGGGGGTCTCCTGTCCACGGGGGATGGCCAGCCCCATAACCCAGAGGAATGTTGTGACACCGTGGGGGTCACCTGGGGCAGTCCCCCGTCCCTTGGGGATGCCAGGGGTGTGGAACTGGGGTGTCTCAGGGGTGGCAGCATGGCCGGGGGTGCCCCAGGAGCACAAAGCTCCCAGACTCTCACCCCTCTTCCCTTCCCACCTCTGGAACCGGCAGAAGTGCTGGGAGAGCTGTCACATTCCATGCCCGGCCAGGAGGGACCAGGGTGGGCACAGGGAGGTGCCGTGGTGGTGGCCCTCGGGGGCTCGGGGGTGTCCGGCCGGTGGCACCGGTGCTGTTCCACTCTGTTCTGTTTCTCTCGCTCAGGTCTGCTGGCCATGGGCAACCTGATAAAGGTATTGGGCAAAGATTTAGAAAACTGTCCTCATTTTTTCCTGGATTTTGAAAGTAAGTCCCATGAGCAGGGTGGGCATGGGGAGGGCGCCAGGGCTGCTGTCCAGAGGATGGGGATAGGCACAGTGTCCCCGAGCAGCCCCGTGTCCCCAGGGGCTTTGGGGCCCTGAAAACGCCTCCAAAATGGGGCAGGGTGAGAGATGCCCCATCCCTCCGAGAGTGGGGCAGCCGTCCTGGCTGAGTGGTGGGATGCAGGATGCAGCAGGACCCGGCCCGGCACCACCTCGGGCACGCACCCAGGGCTGTTAGCTGATGGCACTGGTGGCCGTGTGGCGTGTCCCGTGACACCGGCAGGACAGGGACAGCCTGCAGGCTGGGGAAGGAGGAGGGAATGAATGATCCGTGCCACCTGCACCGCTGGGAAGGTCAGTGCGGTGGCCGCAGCCTGCACCGAGTGACGGGGAGCAGGGACCTGCCTCAGCTTCCCATGGACCTGGGCACAGGAAGGGACAGCTCTCGGCCCCCCAGGCTGGACACGGAGGGGGACAGGAGCCGCTGGCCACCGTGGCAGGATGCCAGGCCGGGCACAGCCGCAGGGCTCCCCTGGCTCCCCCTCCCGCTGTTCCTCCCAGGGCACAGCTCAGAGCAGGAGCGGAAGGAGCGCGGTGACCTCTGCTCGCCCCAGCCCCGGTCCCAGTTCCACCCCCAGCTGGGACAGGCCGTGCACAGCTCCCCACACCACCTCTGACTCCGGCACCCCCCAAAACACCCAGAGCTGGGGTCACACGGCCCCCACTCCCACGGCGAGGGACCTTCCTGCTCCTCCTGGCTCCTTTGAGGCAGCACCAACTTTTCCTGCCTCCAGCCCCCTCCACATCCCCCCGGCACAGGTTCCGGGGGCTCCCCAGGACCCCTCATTTCGGGGCCGGCTCTGCGCTAGGGTAAGGGTTTGGCTGTAGCCAAGACTCCAGGGATTTCGGGGGCTTCCCGGCGGCTTCCCCACCCTTCGCTCCTCCCTCTCCATCACCCCATCCGCCAGCGCTCATCACCATCGGGGGGGAAGAGGCTGCACCCGGGGCCGGGAGCAGCCGCGGGGTCACCCCCGGAGCCCCCCGAGCCCCCGGGGAGCAGCGGGGGGAGGACGGGGCTCCGGCCACCGCCGCTGCCCGCAGCCCAGCACCTCTTCCCCGGGCTCCACCTCACCATCATGCTTTTTTCCTCTTGTTTCTTCTCTTGCAGGTTTCACATGGGGAACCTTCTAAAAGTGTTGACTTATAACGAACTTGACCAAGGCCCTAATTTTTTCCTTGACTTTGAAAGTGAGATGGGATTTTTATTTTCCGTTTTTGTTTCGTACTTCTCCTGAGTTCCACATCCACACCATTTTGAGTTCTTTGTCCCCGTCGCCCATCGCATCGCGCCCATCCCAGACGTCCTCCCCCACCTTTGCCATCCGGGGGTGTCCCCGGGGAGGGGGGCCAGGCCCGTGGCCGGGGGCTGTCGCTCCGCACCTCTCCCCCGGGGCACTTGGCAGCCTCTCGGGGCCGAGGGGGCTGCTCGG